TGCTTATCAGCAGAGCCCAGCCAGTAGCCCTGTCTAGCCTACAGACTCACTTGGCAACTCTGCCTGATTTGGGTCCCCAGACAACTGTCCTTGATCTTTCTCGGCCTGCACAGAGAGGCAGATGCCCAGCCCCGCCCAACAGCTGAGCACTGTCTCCACCCGACCCCACCAGGAAGCCTGGCCAGAGAACCCAGGCAGCCATGGAGCCCATCCAACAGCCTGCTTGGGCAGGAAGCCAAGCCAGTAGCCGTACCAACTGCGGGCATAGCCTCTGGCCTTGCATAGCCAGGGAGCCTGAACAGTGACCCTGGACAGCCTCTGTCCAACCTACAGCCCCTACTCAGTGGTGGAGTCCATCTGAGGGCCTTGTCTGCTTACTCAACACAGCCTGAAGCCTAGACTGTGGGCCCACCCAACAGGAAAGCCTAGACAACAACCCAGCTTGACCATGAAGCACAATCCCTAGACCCACTCACTGTGGGATTCAGCTGGAGGGCTCTCTTAATCAGAGAGTCTGGCCAGTAATCTTGCCCAACATGGGAGCACAGCCAATGGCCTACCTGATGGCAAAGCCTTGTTTATGGCCCTACCCAACTCCAAGGCTGCAGCTGTGCATGATCACAGAGCATAGGCTGAGACCCCATCAAGAGCAATTGCAGAGACCAGCCTATAGCCCTGCACAGTCATGAGTCCAACCAGTAGCACTGCCCTGCCAGTAAACATAGCTTGTGACCTCATATAATCAGAGGTGATTGTAGGGCCCAATAAGTAGCACACTCTGCCCCACCCCAACCTCAGAGCCTGGAACATTTTCCAGGATAGATTATATGTTAGACCACAAAGCAAGTCTCAATAAATTCAAGGAAGTGTAAATTACATCAAGTATCTTTTCCAACCACAATATGAGATTAGACATCCATGGCTGGTTCAGGTTGATGTATGGCAAAAACCACCACAATATTGTAAAGTAATTAGCCTCCAATTAAAATAGAAATTAAACAAAAAAAATTAATAAGAGGAAGAAAGAAAATTGACAAATACATGGAAATTAAACAACACACTCTTAAACAACCAGTGGATCAAAGAAGAAATCAAAGAGAAATTTAAAATATCTGGAGATGAACAAGAAAGGAAACACAACATACCAAAACTTAAGGGATATAGCATAAGCAGTTCTAGGAGAAAAGTTTTTAGAGATAAAAACCTATATTAAGAAAAAATAAAGATCTCAAATAAACAACCTAATTCAACTCAAGGAACTACTAAAAAATAAAATAAAATAAGCAAAAGCTAAGCCCAAAGTTGACAGAAAAGAAGAAATAATAAAGACTATATCAGAAATAATGAAATAGAGAATAAGGAAACAATAGAAAAGATTAACAAAACTGAGTTGGTTCTCTGGTACTATAAACAAAATTGATAACAAATTTTAGCTAGATTAACCAAGAAAATAAGATAGAGGACAAAAATAGATTATTTAAAAATTTATAAATGAAAATGGGAACATTACAAGAAATACCAAGGATCATAAAAGACTACTATGAGCAATTATAATCCAACAAATTGGACAATCTAGAAAAAATGGGTAATTCCTAGAAGCATACAATCTACCAAGAATGGATCTTGAAGAAATAGAAAATCTGAACAGATCAATAATGAATTAAAGAAGTGGAATCAATAATCAAAAACCTCCCAACAAAGAAATGTCCAAGACCAGATGGTATCACCGGTGAAATCTACCAGACATTTACAGCCAATTCATCTCACTTTTTCAAAAAACTGAAGGGAAGAGAATGCTCTCAAACTCATGAGTCCAGCATTACTCTGATACCAAAACCAGATAAGGACACCATATGAAAACTATCAACCCATATGCCTGATGAATATAGATGCAAAAACTCTCAATAAAGTACTGGCAAACCAAATTCAGCAGCACCTTAAAAGATTATACACTGTAATTAAGTTGGGTTCATTCCTAGAGTGCAAGAATGTTTCAACATATGCAAATCAGTAAATATAATACACTGCATTGTCAAAATGAAATAAAAATCATATAATCACCACAACAGATGCAGAGAAACCACTGACAAAATTCAAATGATAACTCTCAACAAACTGGGTATAGAAAGAATGAACGTCAACATAATAAAGGACATATGTGACATACCCAAAGCTAACATCATACTCAGTGATGAAAGGTTGAAAACAAGACAAAGGTGCCCACTCTAACCAGTTCCATTCAGCATAACACAGGAAGGCCTTGTCAGAGAAATTGGGCAAGAAAAGAAATAAAAGGCATCCAGATTAGAAAGGAGGGTATAAAATTGTCTCCGTTTGCATGTGGCGTGGTCTTACATATAGAAAAATCCTGAAGACTCCACCAGAAGCCTTTTATAACTAATAAATTCAGGAAAGTTGGAGCATACAAATTCAACATACAGAAATCATTGTGTTTCTGAACACTAACAATGAAGTATCTGGAAAATAAAGAAAAAATTCTGTTTATGATGACATCAAAAACAATGAAATACTTGAGGAATAAATTCTACTAAGGAGGTAAAAGAAATGTACTCTGACTCTATAAGATATTAATGAAAGACACTGAATAAGACACAAATGGGAAGATATCCCTTGGATTGGAAGAATTAATATTGCTAAAATGTACATACAAAGCACATTAAATGCAATCCTTGTCAAGATTCCAGTGGCACTTTTTACAGAAATAGAAAACAAACAAAAAAATCCTGAAAGTCATTTGTAACCAAGAAAGATCCCTAATAACCAAAGTAGTCCTGAGCTAAACCTGGAGGCATCACACTTTAGGATTTCAAATTAATATTACCAAACTTTTGTAATCAAAAAAATATGGTACTGGCATAAAAACAAACACATAGATCAATGGAACAGAACAGAGAGCCCAGAAATAAACCCACACATATGCAGTCAACTAATATTTGCCTAATAAGGATTCTCAATGGTGAAAAGATAATTTCTTCGAAAAATTGTGTTGGGAAAACTGGATATTCACATTCAAAAGAGTTAAACTGGACCTCTATCTTACACGACTTAGACAAATTAAGTTGAATGGATTAAAGACTTAAATTTAAGACTTGAAACCCAGAGGAAGATATAGGGAAAAGGCTCCTTAACATTGGTCTTAGCAATGACTTTTGGAAGTTCAACCAACAAAAGCAAAAATGAAACAGGTGAGACTAAATCAAACTCTGAAGCTTCTGCACAGTAAAAGTCATGATCAACCAAATGCAAAGGCAACCTAGGAATGAGAGAAAATATTTTCAAACCACATATCCGATCAAGAGTTAATATCTAAGATGCACAAGAAACTCATATATACACCTCAATAGCAAATAGCAATACGCAATAGCAAATAGCAATAGCAAAACGAACAAACAAATTATCCAATTTAAAATTGAGCAGAGGACCTGAACAAGCATTTTCTAAAAGAAGATAGTCAAATTGCCAACAGGTACATGTAAAGATGCTCAACATCACTAATCTTGGTAGAAATGCAAATAAAAACACAGTGAGGTATCACCTCACACCTGTTGGATGGCTGTTATCAAAACACAAGAGATTAAAAAGTACTGGCAAGGATTTAGAGAAAATGGAACCCTTATGTACTGTTGGTGGGAATGTAAATTCATGCAGCCACTATGGAAAAGAGTATAGTTCCTCAAAAAAGTAAAACTAGATCTACCGTATGTTCTAGCAATTCCACTTTTCTGGGTATGTATCTGAAGGAAATAAAATCACTATCTTGAAAAGATATCTCCACTCCCATGTTTATTGCAGCATTGTTTACCAGTGAATACATGTAAACAACCTAAGTAGCCTTCAACAGATGATGTTTATCTTTCTTGTTTAAGGCAATGAATTTGCCCAGAGTTCTACCATATCAAGTCTTCTATATTACCATATTAACTGCACAGAGCATAACAAAATATATATTATTTTTCTGTTGAGCTTTTAACTCAGTTTACTCAGAGTATTCCATTATTAAAAAGGAGGCCTACTGATACCATGTTTTGCTTGTCCTATTCATCCAGGTCCTCAAAGTATTTTCCTTTTCTCTTATACAGTTCTTGAATTTGCCTAACTTTTCTCTTGATAATTCCTCAACTTATTGAGGTAACTGGGATTTATATTCTTGTATGTAGATTCTTCTTCCTGTTTTTCTCCTTAATACCAGATCCCAATGTCTTCACAAATTGTAGCTTACTGTTGAATGCAAGACAGTGGCATTGGTTAACTTTGGAGATTTCATAAACTAGACACAAGAAAATAAATTCTGTCAAATATTTCTGTTTCACTAAACTGTCCTTTCAAATCTCTTGCACAACCTCTTTCAGTTATATGGGCTTTATCACAGGAATTGCTGGTCCTAAAATATAGAATATTACAAGAATTGAACATTATCATCATATTTCATATCTTCCTGTTTTTGTCCTACATTTAAATTTGATCATTGAAGAAGCTGCTGATAATGGTTGTCATACATGATAGAAAACCAAGGTCCCTTAAACCGTGGTACCTTTTAATGATGGTGGAATTAACTGTTTAAAACAGTTTGCAGATCCTTGGAGATCAAAGTGCGTGCCAACTCTTAACAGGAGCACACGTACTCCTTTGACTGATCTATGGATTGGAATGGAAGTGATATATCTGTGAAGTAAAAACTGGGGCAAGATTCATATTTCAATCACCAAAGAAGCTCATTTTTACTCTGCACAATTGATGTAGTCTTACTTATTCAGTTGATATTTTGGCATGGCTCACATAGCCCAGATATTTCTAGACTCATTTTCTCATACTTTTCAGCTTGCAGTATTTCATAAAGGAAGTTAAAGAAGCTTCATGCATTCAAGGAAATGAAATACTTGTCAAGGTTTTGCCTAACCATTTCTGAGTCAGTGAATACAGCCGCGGTTTCTCCCGTCGGTAAACAAGTGTTTGAATAAAGCACATCTCCTTCCCTGCAGGAGCTTCAGAGAGACATCGAGAAACACAGCACTGGCGTGGCCTCCGTGCTTAACCTGTGTGAGGTCCTTCTGCATGACTGCGATGCCTGCGCTACAGACGCCGAGTGCGATTCCATCCAGCAGGCTACGCGAAACCTGGACCGCCGGTGGAGAAACATCTGTGCCATGTCCATGGAAAGGAGGCTCAAGTAAGTGGGAGTGTGTACACAGCTGAAACAGAGGAAGGACAAAAAAATCAATAAATAAGTTTATCCAGGGTATCTGCTGTTCACCATTTCCTTTTGGCCGCAATGCCCAAAGATAGCCTCGGTTTCCCAAACTTGTCATCTACGTTCAGTTGGAATAAAGGTCACTTATAAATATAACGAGCCAAATGACACCTGACTTAACAGTTTAAATATAATCAGAAAAATTAAAATATGCCCTTGCTGAACAAGTATTATGTTACATAATCCATGGTGTGAAAAAGTAACTTTCTTTCATTAAAAAGGAAATAATAAAACAAAAGGACTTCTCTTGAAGCCATTTGAAATTCAAGGTGGTAAAAAATTAGTGATGTGTTAGAAAGTGACCATAATGACTTAAGGCGCAGAATCTTCATACTCTCTGGGGACCTCCTGAAGGCTTAATATTTGTCTTGCCGTCATTGGTTGATTTTGATGAGGGTGACTTTGACGTTCAGTGAATTTTCAAACCTTAGTTGTAGTCCAGCGAACCTCGGGATGAGTGTGCACTGAAAGCAGAGTGTTACACTTTTAAACTTCCTTGCACACACCCAGAACAGTTCACACCATGTGCTTATCAGACTCAGTTTGACTCATTCCAAACCCAGAGCTGCAGGACGTGTGTTTAAACACACACACACACACACACACACACACACACACACACTCACACACTCACACTCACAGCTGTTTCATTTTAGCTCAAACAGTTGTTTCCTTTTCAGTCTGGGCAAATTCGGCTCAAGGCACAGTTAGTTATTGTTTGGCACAGCAGTTGCTTGTTTTGGGCACTCTTAATCCTGTTGCAGGCATCAGACAGGGCTCAGGAGCATAAACAGTCTCAAACAATCAGATTCTGTTCTTTCTTTTCTGTCTCAGAATTGAAGAGACATGGCGATTGTGGCAGAAGTTTCTGGATGACTTTTCTCATTTTGAAGATTGGCTCAAGATCTCAGAAAGGACAGCTGCCTTTCCCAGCTCTTCCGGGGTGCTCTATACAGTTGCCAAGGAGGAACTAAAGAAATTTGAGGTGATTTTCAAAGCCAAATATTTCATCTTTATTTTGCTACTAGAGTAGCCAGCTGGTCTTTGGTGTCTCAAGACCCAAACAAACTGCCCACATATTATTTGTTCAGACGGCTAGGTGATGACTTTCTGGTCATCTTTCTTATTACATCGTAATAGGCAAAAAATAGAAAGGATGTTTTTACTTTATAATTATCAAGAATTACAAATAAAGCAGTAATGAAGAGAAACTCTGTTAGAAAACAGGAATTATGATTCCCCAAAAATGATCTTGGCATTCTTTTGACTTCACAGTTCTTTATAATCAAGCTTCTAAGACTCAAATATTATGCCATTCCATACTATAACATCTATAAAATATATGTGTGTGTGTATTCAATATATTTTCTTGATTTTTTTTCACTTAACTGGAGTATATGTGTATATATACATATATATGTATATGTGTGTGTTCGTGTGCGTGTGTACATGCTAAGTTGCTTCAGTCATGTCCAATTCTTTGCGAACCTATGGACTGTTGCCCACCAGGATCCTCTTATCTTTTAATCATTGATAAATAGAATTGACTCCAGAATTGATGAAATATTTTAAATCATAAACCGTCTGTAATTATAAATGAGGAACAGTGCCATTGAGTCACCAAGATTTTTCAAATTTATAGAGAAAAATAGCAGCAGTATAATCATATTCATCAAGAAGGCANACTAAATCCTGGGGTGAGGGGGGGAATTCCTATCTGAAAGATTTTTCCTTAGTAAAATTTTAGTAAAAGCCACAATAAACTCTGCAGTAGATTTCAGATTACCCCAGTGTGAACCAGTGCTAGGGGAAGTATTCTTGTACTGCATCTTTTTACTCACAGCTTCATAAAGGTTAAACCTTCTATAATCGGCTTCCACTACAAAGAAGATTATGTAAGATCTTTTATGATGCTATTTTAGACTCAAGACTTTATGACAAAGGTTAGCCATATAGTTAAGCTTATAATGCTATTTATATAAATAGCTATATTTATAATGCTGTATAAATACATTATATGTATGCTATTTATATATATAAATGCTATTTATACAACATACAACTAGCTAGTTATAATGATTGATTTTATTATTTATCTTTGTAGTTAATTTTCTTAAGAGGAAAATAAATTACAAAAATGAAATTTTGAGGGCGATTTTTGCCTGTTCAATTGCACAAACACTGGGGACAGATCTAGGTGTGCTGGGGTCCCCGCCTGTCATGCCCACCTTCACCTCAGTGAGAAAATATATTGTGTGACTTACAGTGATGGCAAAAGCTGAACTTCCCTTAGTATTTCCTTTTCCGGGGAAATAATTTGAAGTTTTATAAAATAGATGGTTGGATTTACTCGGTTGACGGCTCTTAAAATGACTCTCAGAAGGAAAGCCGTCTTAGAGGCAGGAGTTTGGTAGCATGTAAACAGTGTGATGAGCCAAAGGAAGCAAAAGTTTGGGATTTCGATGAGTGCAGTTCAATTAGTCACACAACTTTCTGTCCAATGCCAGAATAAAAGTCAGTCATAAATCACACACCTAAGTTTGAAATGTAAAAGTTTCATTTTATTTTGGCCAAATGACTCTTATTGCTAGGGTTAGGCTGTATTGCAGAGAAAAAGAAGTACTTTACCTGCAGAAACTGTAAGGTGTGCATAGGGGTAACCTCCAAAGTAGATAGACACTACTCTGTAATACTCTATAAGGTGCCACATCAGCTTTAAAACATTTCATACAAACCAAATCATTCGTGGGCGCAGCAAAAAAAAAAAAAAACAATAGAGCATGTATGACACATTTTTCTTTGTAAGGTTACTTCTGTTTTACTCAGCTGTTGTTCTTAAAAGTCAGTAATAGCTTGCATTTAGAAGATATTCTGCAAAAAGTAGTTTATTTTTTTAAGAGGACACCAAAATTGAGGCAATTTCTGGATTTCTTAGGAAATAACATATTTTATAAATAAAAGAAGCAGTTTTATGATAGGTAATCTTTTCTCGGTATTGACATCAGAAACTTGGAACATTTTAAACTCACGTTTCAGCACACATACATATTTTTGTGGGCTTCCCTGGTGGTAAAGGACTCGCTTGCTGATGCAGGAACACAGGTTTAATCCCTGAGGTGGGAGGATCTGTGGGAAAAGGAAATGGCAACCCACTCCAGTATTCTTGCCTGAGAAATCCCCTGGACAGAGGAGCACAGCATCCATGAGGTCGCAGGAGTCGGACATGACTTAGTGACTAAGCATCAACATATTTTTGTAATCAGTTTCCATTATGGGAAAGTTTTTTTTAGGCTATTATTTTAAAAGCTATATTACATATGTATGTCATGTGCATTATATATGTGAGTGAGTGTGTGATAGTCGCTCAGTCATGTCCAACTCTTTGTGACCCCATGGACTGAAGCCCACCAGGCTCCTCTGTCCATGGAAGTCTCTAGGCAAGAATACTGGAGTGGGTTGCCATTTGTATATGTATATATAGGTATGTGTGTACATTTTATATGTATGTATCTTATGAATATGTGTATGTTCTACATGTATATGTACATATTCTATATGTGTATCATATGTGGATTTGTATATATACAGATATTTACTACTGTTTGCCATTTTCTTTTGTATTTTTGTTTGATCAACTCCCTTTCTTAAGGCACATGGGTAACGTGAGCTTTCTTTAACAAGGGAAAGTTTGCGCTGGTTACAAAGTGTCTTTTCCTGTTTGAAGGGAAGAGTTGGCCTCCCATTCTGTCTGACATCAGGACCCCATGCCCAGACACCCTTGCTGAGAGCCTCCTCAGATCTCCCAGGCTGATGTGCTTCTTTGTGGCCGTAGGCTTTCCAGCGACAGGTCCATGAGAGCCTGACCCAGCTGGAGCTGATCAACAAGCAGTACCGCCGCCTGGCCAGAGAGAACCGCACGGACGCGGCCGGCAGCCTCAAACAGATGGTTCACAAAGGCAACCAGAGATGGGACAACCTGCAGAAGCGCGTCACCTCCATCCTGCGCAGACTCAAGGTCCGTGCTGCGCCCCCTCTGTAGCTTAGCGGCCGGAGGGCAGACTGGGGCCAATTCAGTACAGCGTTAGGACATAATCTCGGTGACTCTAAGACAGGGATGCCAAGACGGGTATCTAGCATGTGATTGATTTGGTAAAACATTGCGGTGTTCTCATTGCTCGTTGAGGAAATGACTTCCCAGGAGGAGGCTGGAATTGGCGGTTCAGTCTCAGCATGAGTCTGTGGCTTTTTCACTTGTGTTCTTTTCTCTCCAGCATTTCATTGGCCAGAGGGAGGAGTTCGAGACGGCCCGGGACAGCATTCTGGTGTGGCTGACGGAGATGGATCTGCAGCTCACCAACATTGAGCACTTCTCCGAGTGTGACGTGCAAGCTAAAATAAAGCAGCTCAAGGTAATAGAATAATAGTAATTTTTTTTTTTTCAAATTGGTATGCAGGGAATATGAAGAGGAAACGATTTATACGTGCTATTGTGAAGAACATACTAAAGAACTGTTCTTTTTTAAAAAATTTATTTAGTTTTTAATTGAAAGATAATTGCTTTACAGAATTTTGTTGTTCTATGCTAAATAGCAGCATGAATCAACCATAGGTATACATGTGTCCCCTCCCTCTTGAAACTCCCTCCCAGCTCCCGCCCCATCCCACCACTCTAGGTTGCTGCAGAGCCCCTGTGTGAGTTCCCTGATACATACAGCAAATTCCCATTGGCTATCTATTTTACATATGAGAACCTTTGCTTTTTAAAAATGTAGGTCTTCTTGACCGAAAAGAAATACAGAAAAAAGAAAGATATTAAAAATGAAATAAAAAGCATTATCAGGAGATACAACTCCCCTTAATATATACACTTAACATATACACAAATCAAGTAGGAACTTGATTTGCAACGTTGTCATTTTCATTTTTGATGGTGTTTTTTTTCTGATTGGTTTCAAGCACCTTCATATAGTTTGACTCCCATGATCCAGACCAGTTCAACTTTCTTATATTGGAACTTCATTCCACACAGACTGCATTCCTAGGTGCCAAATTAATGTTTAAGCATNTTCTTGAATGTTGAATTTTAAGCCAGCTTTTTCACTGTCCTCTTTCACTTTCACTAACCTGAAATATCAATAACCTCAGATACACAGATGACACCACCCTTATGGCAGAAAGTGAAAAGGAACTAAAGAGCCTCTTGATGAAAGTGAAAAAGGAGAGTGAAACATTTTACATGGGGAGGGATGTATATTAGATATGAGGATTCCCTAAAAGGAAGAATGTTTAACATCTTGAATAATATGCAGTGCAGCTTGTGAAATTTTCATCCCAAGGTAGGATAGGTAGATTTTTTTATAAGACTAGTCACGTTGCCTTGGAGAAGAAAATGGCAACCCACTCCAGTATTCTTGCCTGGAAAATCCCATGGACAGAGGGGCCTGGTGGGTTCCAGTCCATGAGGTTGCAAGAGTCAGACATGACACATGGTGCCTGTGACTTTCAAGTTGTCATAATAAAACAAGGAAGTTACTTTTAATCCTAGATTCTCAGAATAAAAAACCATAAAATAGCCCCAGTAGTCTGACCAGTCTCTCCATCCTTCCCCTTCACCTCAACTCTCTCAAGTTGTTTCACAGGTAAATAACAGGTAAAAGCTTCAGCAGGAAATTTCTACAAAGTGGTAGGTGAATCTTTTCTTTCTGGACTCTGGCAGGGTCATTTATAACCACCCTCTTTCTCCCTTGGCAGTCTTTTTATTATTGGGCAATTTCAACTCTTTCAGAGTTTATTCTTGTGTTGAATTAAAATTTATCCCTTGAAACTTGTTCCCTGAGGCTTAACTGTTTTGAATCATATAAATTAAGTCTAAGGAATCCAGAATTACCTGTTTTTCAAATTTTTACAGTTTTTCCTACTTATGTCCTGAAACAGTCAAATCATCTGAGAATAATTTGTGATATTGTGATTTGGATGGTTTCTCTTACTGATATTTGACATCTTAGAAAATCTAAAATTTAAATATTGAATATAATTCTTCAAACTGCTAAATTAATTTCAGTGGCTCTCTATTGCTTGCCATTACTTTTCATCAGGGACAACCAGTGCTCTCAACTTTATGATGGGTTTGAATGTTTTTTCGTATGATTCTCTTAGCCACACTGTCCATGGTGGTAAATTTTATTAGGCAAAGGCGCCTCTCTGGTCATGGAATTCTAACAATTCCATTTCTGCTTCCTGTTCTGATTTCAAAATTTCATGTCTTACTTTAGAAAGTAATAGCCTCTGGGCTTGTCTTTGTCTATGGTAAACTTAATATCCCTACATGGTTTTTCTTAATATGTATCTTAGAGTTACTTCATGTTTATGTGAGTAATGAACAATTAACATGAGAGGTGTGCTCCTTAGGCCTTCCAGCAGGAAATCTCATTGAACCACAATAAGATTGAGCAGATAGTCGCCCAAGGAGAACAGCTAATAGAAAAGAGTGAGCCCCTGGATGCGGCCGTCATTGAGGAAGAGTTGGATGAGCTCCAGCGTTACTGTCAGGAGGTCTTTGGGCGCGTGGAGAGATACCATAAGAAACTGATTCGCCTGCCTGTACGTGACACTGCTTTTCTATTGTCATTAAACCTAAGAGAATTAATAATGTGAGCTCAAGTAGCATCGTTTAGTGGGCACTGGACTCTGGAGCCAGAGCGCTTGGCTTGCCTTAGTTTCCTCAGTCTAAAACTGGCTTAGTAACTGTACCTACCTCCTAGAAAGGATTGCTTTGGGTGTGGAAAATGAGTTTACATATATATATGCATATAAAGAGCTTAGAAGAGTACTTGGCACATATCTTCCATGGAAGATCAAGAAGCTTCTAGAGAAAACAAGGGTATAAAGGTGAGCAGTGTTAAACAGCGGCTTAATTGATGTGGTTATTTAGCTGAATTTCTTTTTCTCTTCCTTTTCCCTAATTGCTACCATAATCATATCTCATTGTCAAGATGTTATTATTAGAATATTTGTCATCTTCTATGATAAAGTGTATTTTCTATCTGGAATATAAGGTATAAAAGGACCAGCTAGGATTTTATCAGTGATTCCCTTTGGCTCCTGATCTGTGCCATTCACTTACTGTGTTGCAGGTTAGGTACTAAGTTATCTTTATTTACGTTATCTTATTTAATCTTCTGTTATTTTTTTGAAGTAGGTCTTAATATTATTTCCATTTTACCAGCGTTAAAACTGAGAATTTACTAGATTCACGTGTAAGGCATTTTGAAAAGTGATCAGAAGATACTTATTTATTATTCAATGATGGGAAGTTTAAAATTAACCCTACCAAGATAGGCATGCAGTCCAGCTAAGCGTGGGTACTGAACATTGGTGAGAGGCAGAGCAGAGCGGGGAGGGTACCAGCTGACTGCTGTGATAACAGGGCTGTCTTGGCTGCGTTTCTAGCTCCCAGATGATGAGCACGACCTCTCTGACCGGGAGCTGGAACTGGATGAGGCTGGAACTCTGTCGGACCTCCACTGGCGGGACACCTCCACGGACGGCGTGCTCTCCCCGCAGCCTTCCTCCAACCCCTCCCTCTCACTCGCCCAACCCCTCCGGAGCGAGAGGTCTGGACGAGACACCCCGGCCAGTGTGGACTCCATCCCCCTGGAATGGGACCATGACTATGACCTCAGCCGTGACCTGGAGTCTGCCGTGTCCAGAACTCTGCCCTCTGAGGATGAAGAGGGTCCAGAAGATAAAGATTTCTACCTCAGGGGAGCTGTTGGCTTATCAGGTAGGAACGAGCTCCTTCTATGTGTATGCTAGCTTGAAAGAAAATACGAAGGAATGGATACTGTCCTGAAAACCCATAGGCTAAGCAGAATCATCTTCCTTCTCCCTTCAGGGGAACTTGTACTTAATGGCATAATTTGATATTAACATGATTCACAAATGCAAAATTGACATGACCACTGATTTATCCCATGTATGCTTACATTCTTACTGCATGACTGGCACTTTATAAGTACTGGAAATACACAGTTCCTTTTCTTTTCAAAGAGCTCACATTCTAGGGTGGTAGTGTGGTAGTGTGGAGGTGGTTTAGTCACTAAGTAGTGTCCGACTGTTTGATCCCATGGACTGGAGCCCACCAGACTCCTCTGTCCGTGGGATTCTCCAAGCAAGAATACTGGAGTAGATTGCCATTTCCTACTCCAGGGGATCTTCCCAACCCAGGGATCGAATCTGCATTGCCTGCATTGCAGGCGAATTCTTCACCTCTGAGCTACCAGGGAAGCCCTCACACTCTAGTGTGGAACACAGACAAATAAGAAACGCCTGTGTGAAATGTTTGGCGCTGGAATAGCAGGGTACCCACGGTGGTGTAAAAACACAGCCCGGGGTGGCTGAGCCAGAGCTTTGGAGAAAGGCTTTAGAGACGAGACCTGTGCTGAGACCTGAAGGATGACTAGAAGTCAGTCAGGAGGATACGGCAGTGTCCAGAGGAAGGAAGGAGAGGACACCCATCTCGGCTTTATGATCAGCCTCAGCACTGTCGGTCCCCTGGAGTTTGTCCAGAATGACATGGCTGTCGATTGGGAGGTGCAGAGTGAGCAAAGAGGAGATGGGAAGGAGAACCAGGGTCTGGTCATATAGCAAGCTGTTTATCATGAAAAGCGGTTTTCCCGTGAAGACGCTGGACAGTGTCACAGCAGGCTCTAAGGAGGGAGGCACTGTGATCTGATGTCTGTTTTCAAAGAACCGGTCTCAACAACGTCTAGAGAAGGGCACATTGAAAGAAAGCCCAGATGGAATCGCTTTACAGGCCAGGACACAGATGTGGTGATGGCCTGAGCTAAGGCAACAGCGCTGGGAATAGATGAAAGAGCTGTGAGAAATCATGAGACAGCTCCTGCACGCCTGATGGCTGATTGGATTGCGGTTGAAGTGATTTTTTTCTGGTGCGAGCATCTTGGTAAAAGATGCAGGTGGTCATAGGCTCTGAGGACCATGAGTAGGAGAGAATGTTCTGGGTGTCTGTGGAGCCACGGGGGCAGGGCAGTGAGAGAGTGGGAGGCGGTGAGTTCCTCTATGAACTCAACCTGTGCTACGATATGCTGTGGCCTGTCCCACAGGAAGAAGCCAACAGTGGGTGGCTGCATGGGTCAGGAACCAGAAATGTAGATTAGATAGTCATCCACACGTCAGTGGTCCCCAAGGAAAAGAAGGAGACCACTCAGGAAGAGTGTACAAAGGGAAACGAGGCATATGAAACCGCAGGAAACACAGGGAAGGCGTGGCCAGAGAAAGAGGAGCATTTTAAGAAAGGTGAGTCGAAATAGAATAAAATAACCAGAGGCCAATTTGTAGCCCTTGTAAATGCATCTCACACATTCCCTAAAAGACAATTTCCGCTTTTTCTTTGTGTGATGGTTCACATTTGGATTCCCAAGGGGCTGATGCTGTACACAAAGAAGATGATTTCTCTCATTTCTCTTTTGTTTTTACAGTACGGCCTAATAGCTAAGCATTTTGCATCCACAGCAGAAATACTCAGTATGCAGTCCCTCAGTCACATGTGACAGCTGAGCCCTGAGATGTGGCTGTGCAGATGGGTATCTGTCTGCTGCATCCAGTGCGCTTACAAAAACACACAGAACTCAAAGACTAGCACAAAGCAAGTGTGTGAAATATCAATAATAGCGCTTATGTTCATTACATGTTATAATTTAGATCTGTTGGTTTAGTAAAATTAAGTATTGAATTTATTTTCATCCCTTGACTTGTCATTGTGGCCCTTAGACTCTTTAAAACAATGCATGTTATTTCTGTTGGACAGCGCCACTCTAGAACCTGTATGGATTGCAATTCCAGTTATGCCACTACTAGCTGTTGAAACTTGAATGAGTAACAATTCCCCTGGGCCTCAGTTTTTTTCATCAGTAAAATGAGAATAACACTTCCACGCACCCTGTAGGGTTTCTATGAGGATAAATGAGTGCCCAGAACAGCGCCTGGCTCATAAAACACTCTCCACCAATGAGAGACTTTAATATGATTTATTTCAGGAACCCTTTGATGGTCAGACTCAGACTTCTCTGTATGTTCAAGAATTATCAGCCCAGAATGACTAATTTCCTTTTTTTCCCCTAGGAAAGTTATTTTCTAGCCATCAGGGGATCCAGGTTTCCAGACCTTAGCTGTCAACTTAGACTGTGCTCTTTTTGCAGATGTAATGATCCCTGAAAGTCCTGAGGCCTATGTTAAACTCACAGAAAGTGCAATCAGAAATTCCTCTGGTAGGCACCAAAGCTGAAGCAGACCTCCCCTGCTCACTTGTAACCCGCCTTCTCCTCTCCAAGCACCTTTACCCACCCTCTCACAGCTCTGTGCCACAAGCATGTTAAGGCAGAACCTTCTTCTCTGACTGCTGTCTCAGAAACAAAAACCCAAACCACTTGGTTGATCCACACCAAGAGTTAAAACTTCAGTGAAAGTGAAAATGTTGGTCGTTCAGTCATGTCCGACTCTTTGTGACCCCATGGCCTGTAGCCCGCCACGCTCCTCTATCCATGGAATTCTCCAGGCAAGAATACAGGAGTGGGTAGCCGTTCCCTCCTCCAGGGGATCTTCCCAACCCAGGGATCAAACCTGGGTCTCCCACATTGCAGGCAGATTCTTTACTGCCTGAGCCACCAGGGGAGCCCATAGCTTTAGTAATCAAGGGCAGTAAAACAACTATTCAACTTGTGAAATGGTAGTCAGTCTCAGTAAGTGTGAACTATGATGCCCATTAATGGCAGAAAATAGGAGATGGAAACACTAGTCTTAGCATTGGTGCTCTAGCTCCCTGCTTGGTTGGAACAGCTCTGACTTTATGACTTCAAGGAGAAATTGCAGACCCATCTCTGGCTGGGGAGACAGGGCTCAGGGATTCTGTCCCAAGTTCACTAGCTTATAGGTGGGACCCCAGGCCCACCGTTTATCCTCCTGATCTCTGGGGGCCCATAAAAGACAAAGAGTGAATCATGTATCAAGCTCCAAAAACTCAGGCTCTTGCTCTAGACAGACTGTAGTTCAGAGTCTGTAATTTGGAGGACAATGGAGAGAACATGGTTGGACCATGGTGACAGGATGTTGAATTGTGAGATTATTAGTTTACACTTAAGTTTTTGTAGAAAAGCAAAAGGATGGGAAACAAAGTCTCATTACTAAAATCGTGACTACCTAAGTGACTCCCAGTGAGAGACTTCTACCAGGTGTATTTAGAAGGCCTTCTTTCCAAAAGAGAATTAATAAAGCTTACTAATATTTATTCTGCTTTCACCCTGTGCTGGCTTCACTCTGACGATCGTATTCTTATTGAGTTCAAAGACTGTACACACACGCACACACAAATTTTGCAAAACAATGTCACGTCTCTCGAAGGAGGTAGGCCAGGAGTTCTAAACTCTGAGTGAAAGCACACCTGGATGGAAATACTAAAATTTTAGCTTTCTCCTGATTTTGGTTTCAAGTTTCAGACGTAAGGAAGGCATTGCTAGTGTGGTGCCTCCACACATACCTTCTCTTGGTTCACTTGAAGTCTTGCCTTAAGGGAGCCCTATAGCCTCCGGTACTTCAGGAGCACCACCTTCTACTGAGATGCAGAAAGGAAAATAAGATGGTGCGACTTTCTGTTTGATAAGTGACTGCAGAGGGAGCCTGAGATGTGCCTGACTCCTAGTTATCAGGGAGCAGAAGAGACCACCTCAGGTTTTGAGAATGGCCTTCCCCAACTCACAATGTGCAGATTTAAGAGGGAGCAGATTCCCAGGCTGGGAGAACCCACTGCATGGCCCCTGGGGCAGCACCCAGGCAGCTCGGACTCTTGGCCAAGCACATTCATCAGTCTGGTCATTTGAACTCCTCACCCACCAGCACGTCAGTACTAAATGTGCTTTCTGATCACCCACACACATGCCATCTCTCTACTGCCTTGCCTGTAGAATTTCTTAACCATCTCCTCGAATGTCAAGCTTATCGAGATTCTCATGGTTGACGCTGTAGGGGACCGTGGTGCCTTGGAGTCACAGATCCGACAGCTGGGCAAAGCCTTGGATGACAGCCACTTTCAGATGCAGCAAACGGAGAATATCATCCACAGCAAAACGCCCACAGGACCAGAGCTAGACTCCGGCTACAGAGGCTATGTGAGTATCCCGGCCTTCTTGATCCTCACACGTACCTGGTGATCCCAGTTGTGTGACAAAGAACCATCTGTTTGTGGCGTGAGGTCTGTGTTCACTCTCTGTGTACGAAGCTGCCCTTGAACTCAACGAGATTTGGGGAGAAGATGGCAAGAGATTGTGTGTATTACCAGTTCCATTTTTGAAGCTTTGTAAAGTATGTGATAGCTTTGCTCTGGTCAAGTTACTGACAGAATAACTTCCCAGAGAAATACTCAGAGAATTACCTGTTTTCTTACGCATACTTAAGAAGATTTGAAAGTAAATCTCTTCAAGGCCTTCTGTCATTTCTTTTCACACCCAAAAGACTGCCTCATAAAAGGAAAGAAAAATTAATTTCCCTGAGCCTAATGACAATTCACACGTACTGCTTTTTTGAAACCAGGGGAGAGAAACTTTTATGCTGACATTAACATCCTCATAGTCACAGAAGAGTAATTAATTAATCATGAGTTTACTTCCTGTTTAATTTGGCCTCTTATCCTGACTTCTATTATAGTGAAACCTCCTTTTAAAAAACATAATACAGTTTCACAATGAGCGTGCTGAAATCACTGAGACTATACTTAACACTTAAAAACAATCAAAGTAACTTAATAGCAACGTGATTTGGTAAAGGCTTTGAAAGAAAACTTTATGATCGTAGCAGGCGTGCCTTGAAATAATTTGTTCCTTTAGTCTTTGAATATGTGCATGATATTAAATATGGAGTTGGAAGCTTTTCTTTTGATGTCAAAATTTATTCGCTTAGTATCTATTAAACATTGCTTAGATTTTCTCATGAAACAGCTGGTGTTAATATTGTTTTATTCTTTTCAGCATTTTAATTACTTAAAAATTTTGCACTTAATGCAAATAGATGCCCCTGTGAGATTTGTGGTAATATCACTGTTCCCACACTTCAGTTTAAGAAAGAGGGAGCAGCTTGCCAAAGACAATATGTTATATTGCCAGCTGGGGGCTCTGAGTGTTAAATCCCAGATCGATTTAGTCTGTTTTGATTCATAAATTTTAAAAGAAATTGGGAGGACTTGTTCAAAACCATGTGTGCCAAGAATATCTTCAAGGCATTGCTTTGTGTAAATATGAACATGTCGCATGTTTTAGAAGCATGTTTTTGAACTTGACTTTTTTGTTTCCAGCAGAGCAGCTTACTCTTTTTTTGGGGGGGAGGGGACTGTGCGGGGTCTTCATGACTGCACAGGCTTTTCTCTAGTTGTGGAGAATGGGGCTACTCTAGTTGTGGTGCAAGGGTTTCTCATTGTGGAGTCTTCTCTCTTGGAGTACAGACTCTAGAGCACCAGCTTCCTTGTGGTGCTCGAGGTTTAGTTGCTCTGTAGCATGCGGGATCCTCCCAGTCCAGAGATGAAGTCCATGTCTCCTGAATTGGCAGGCAGATTCTTTACCACTGAGCCATCAAGAAAGCTAAGAGCAGCTCACTCTTTACAGAGAGGTAGCACTTAGCCACTGTCCTTTTTGAGGAACACCAAAGATATTTTCCCCAGGATCTCTTGCAGTCGTGACAGCTTGAGAATTTTGTGACAAGGGAGCCTCTTTTCTGTCCTAAACAGATGAAACTGCTGGGCGAATGCAGCGGCAGCATAGACTCAGTGAAAAGACTGGAACACAAGCTGACTGAGGAAGACGACCATTTCCCTGGCTTTGTTAACTTGAATAGCACTGAAACCCAAACAGCTGGTGAGTGAGTTGCGCTCTATTGAGGACAGAGTGAAATAGAAGATCTCAAAACTCTTTGTTCTGAGTTCCACTGTGTTGCTTACCTCAATCTATACTATTCTGTCCTTAGAACTTTCCTCCAGGTTACACAGATCTCTGAGGACAGAACAAGAAGGTGAAAAATATCACAGTGGTTTTTCCCTATGTCCCATTTGTTTTAAAGCATCATCTTTGAATCACTAGTCAGGAATCTTCTATATACATGCCCAATGCTCTCAGAGCTCTATTGCAGAAAGAAACCAAGAACTGAAAGTTATCTTCACCAACTTTATTGTGGTGTTTTGTTTTTTTTTTTTTAATATTTCTGTATGTATTTATTTCGGCTGCCCCAGGTCTTAGTTGCAGCATGCAGGATCTAGTTCCCTGACCAGGGATCAAACTCAGGCCACCCGCATTGGGAGCAGAGAGTCCTGGCCACTGGACCACCAGGGAAGTCCTGATGTTCACTCACCTTAATGCTATCACTTCATAAATCTCTTTACAGTGTTAAATCTTATGTAGCTGATTTTTTCTTCCCCATCACTGTTAAAAATTCAGATGGGAAAAACACAGCCAGTGTACTGTTACTAACAGCTGACAGCAATAGAAATGCCCAGTGGCGTTACTTTCTTTTCTGTTTTAAAGTTAGCCCACATGTCGGTTTCAAGCATTTCCTAAACATTCCGCATGGAGGAAAACCCCTCACTTTCCTGCGCGTGTCCTGTCTTGCCAGGTGTGATTGACCGCTGGGAACTCATCCAGGCAGAGGCCCTGAGCAAGGAGCTGAGGATGAAACAGAAGCCCCAGAGGAGGCAGCAGTTGGACTCAGACCTGAACAGCATTCTGACCTGGCTGCGGGAGACGGAGGGCGACCTGGAGCAGCTTCAGCGCCTACAGCTCAGCACCGACATCCAGTCCATCACACTCCAAATCCAGAAGCTGAAGGTAGCTGCCCTCGGCCTTTCCCACGGTGCCAGACACAGAGTTGCCACGTGGAGTGCCCGGTCAGATGAAAAACTCCAGTCCTGGCTGTTACACACTCACATGGCAGTGGGCCAGTGGTTGGTGGAAATGGACACAAATGTTTCCCCAGCCATCCCGAATCAGAGTGTTCCTAGGAAGGCTTGGAAGGGTTGAGAGCTGGATTGAGTTGCAGAACCAGTCCCATAAAAATGTGTGTGTGTGTTAGTCACTCAATCACGTCCAACTCTGAGACCCCATGAACTGTAGCCCACAGGCTCCTCTGTCCGTGGAATTTTCCAGGAAAGAATACTGGAGTGGGTAGCCATTCCCTTCTCCAGGGGATTGTCCCAACCCAGGGACCCAATGCGTGTCTCCTGCCTTGCAGGCAGATTCTTTACCATCTGAGCCACCAGGGAAGCCCCTCATGAAAATAATCATGATTTAATGACCAGTTAAAATTGCATAAAACCTCCAGGTACCTCTAGGACCTAGTTAACCACTTTTAAGAGAAACACAGCTATGGCCAGGATCCTACAAGGCTATCTAGAGCCAGAGAGGAAGCCTCTCCCAGATGGTATACGTGTGGGTTTGTGGAGACAGAAGGAAGCCACTTGTCATTCTGGAATCAGCAGAACTTCTGAAATAGATTATCATAGTGGCAGAAGCAATTTTCAGTGTCATGAATCCAACTAAACAGAACCTGTGGAGTAATGCTGCTGAAACACGTGACATTTCCATTTGATTTTGACCTTGTTGGGTATAGTACAGAAGATAACCTTCTCTAACTCTCTCTCTAGAGCTTAAAAATCCTTCTCAGCCCAGCTATTGAGATGCATTGATATGTGGAGACTTTTGTAAGCATACTATGGATGGAGAGCTCAGTGTCTTCTTAATAGCTCTCTTGGGCCTGCCTTTTTGTTTGGAGAACGTCAAGCTGTGTTCTTCCTCAGATGTAGCTACTGGGCCCTCTAGGCTCAAGCATTAAGCAAAGCACACTGTCTTTGTGTCTCCCTGGTTTCTGTGTATGCTGGTTTTCTTTGGGGCTGATGTTTTTCTGCCTTGCTTTACCTATTATTTTGTTTTCAATTTTCAAACAGTGAAGTGAGTCTTCCTGACCACTGCTCAGACTTCTCATAGAGTAGCCTCTGTGCCAGCCCCATCAATTTCAAGATGAAGCATCAGATGGGAGATGCAATTTACATTCTCTGGATTACATTTTTTGTTTTTTAGAATGCTTAAATTACTTGAGTGTCTCTCCAGGAAAATGTAAGGCAGGGTTGCATCATAATCAGTTCCTTAAAAGGTTGATGAAGCAAACACTGGCCAGAGTCTGAGACCTGAGATCAGAGTGGAAAAATGAGACCTTGAATGTCAGCCTATGTGGTACATTATAAGAAAAAGCCACCCTTTTATGCGTCCCTCCCCCATCTTTCCTGTTTTCTGAGGATAAATATGTGGAATAACCTAGTACTTTCTACAATATTTGCAGATTTTTGTGCTGTTTCTGTGTTGACTCTATATCATGGTATGTTAAGAATCCACTTAAAAGTGAAAATTAAGACAAGTTGGGAACATAACAGAAATGGTGAGAATTATAAGAAACTGTAGCCTGAGTATAAGAAACTGTAGCCTGAGTAGATGTGATCTGTAGGGTCACTGACCCTACCTTGATCTGGGAGCATTTAAATAGTACCAAGATATTCAGTGATTAATATATAACCTTGTACTCAAGTTCTTGAAATTTAGTTCTAGATTTTGGGGAAATACACACAGTGACACATCAGTCACCTGTTTGTTTTTGTTTTGTTTTTTGTGAAACTAAGCTAAATTTGTTAGCTGATGAAATAACTATTTATTGTCTTTATCATCTCAAAAAGTCTGGCCTGTGGCAGAGGCAGTGTTCTCAGGCTGTGGACCACTGACTGTCAGTGCCTGTGAAGTCAGAAGAGCGGGAGGCCAGGGCCTAGGAATCTGCTTTCTTACCACGAGTTGCATTTCATACCTGTGTGCACAACTTTAAGGAGCATTGTTGTTCAGCAGCTAAGTCATGTCTGTTTCTTTGTGACCCCCCTGGACTGCAACACGCCAGGCTTCCCTGTCCTTCACTGTCTCCCAGAGTTTGCTCAAACTCATGTCCATTGAGTCTATGATGCCATCCAGCCATCTCATCCTCTGTCACCCTCTTCTCCTCCTGCCCTCAATCCTTCCCAGTCTTTTCCAATGCGTTGGCTCTTAGCATCAGATGGCCAAAGTATTGGAGCTTCAACTTCAGCCTCATCCCTTTCAATGAATACTCAGGGCTGATTTCTTTTAGTTTTTACTGGTTTGATCTCCTTGCAGTCCAAAGGGACTCTCAAGAGTCTTCTTCAGTTCCACAATTCGAAAGCATCAGTTCTTTAGCACTCAGATTTCTTTTATGGTCCACCTCTCACATCCATATAGGACTACTGGAAAAACCATAGCTTTGACTATATGGACCTTTGTCAGCAAAGTGATATCTCTGCTTTTTAATATGTTGTCTAGGTTTGCTATAGCTTTCCTTCCAAGAAGCACGTGTCTTTTACTTTCATGGCTGCCGTCACTGTCAACAGTGATTCTGGAGCCCAGTGAGTAGCATTAGTCTAATGAAATTGAATTTGTACACTGGAACTAAGAGCACATTTCCTGCTGGTCAGAACTCTTGGACAATGTTGTGTTTGGTTTGTTTTGGTTGGTTTGTTGTTGGACTCCCATGATAGGGGCTGAGTTCATTGTACTCTTTAGTTCACTGCCCAGGATCATCTTTGCTTCCTGCAAAGTTCCTTAATTTTATTTATCTATCCCTTTTCTCCCACTGTTTCTTAATCCCCATTCCTCAAACCCATAGCAACCATTCCAAAATTTTAATTCTTTTCTCACGTGTATTCCTAAAAAATGTGGATTTGTGTGTGCACAATATATTTTAAATTGCATAAATGCTGTTTTGTAACCTACAGCAATCTGTTTATGACTCTTTCACTTACAACCATATTTTCTTAAGATCCATTTATGTCAGTAAGTATATATCTGATCCAATTCTTTTAGCTCCAGTGTGGTCCCCAGTGGTGTGTACCTTAGCCATCCTGCTAAGGCCAGTGTTAATTAATGGCTCTTTTTAATTTGGGTGAAGCATTTCCAAAGGTCTCAGACTGTATCTCTTTAACATTTTTATTGTTGTTTTCCTTGTTTGATTGTTCTCCTTTCTTTTTGCAGGAGCTCCAGAAAGCTGTGGACCACCGCAAAGCCATCATCCTCTCCATCCATCTGTGCAGCTCCGAGTTCACTCAGACTGGCCAGGAAGAGAGCCAGGATCTTCAGGATCGCTTGTCCCAGATGAATGGGCGGTGGGACCATGTGTGCTCCCTGCTGGAGGAGTGGCGGGGTCTTCTCCAGGACGCGCTCATGCAATGCCAGGTCTGTGGGGCTTTGGGCAGGCCACGCTCCAGAATCCAACATTTCCAGTGTGGCTGAGTCTGTGACTCAATTTCTCAAGATCACTAGAGGGATGCAGTTACTTCCCAAAGTCAGTGTTCATGTGAGAAATAACTTTGTGCCCAGTTTTTATTTTACTGGAGAGTGTGTACATATGACCCAGAGTTGAAAGACCCCATCTCCTTTAGAAATTGCAAGAGACTATTCCCATCAGTTTATCTCAGCCTCACCATTCCTCCTTTGACTCATTCATTTATTCATTCAGCAGATGTTTTCTGAGCACATTAGGAGACATCCAAGTGAGCATTACAAATATTTGCCCATTCATTCAGACCACAGTTACTTGCCCAGTGTTTACAGACTTGACAAACACTGCACTAAGCAGGCAGGATACAGCCCAGCCTCTGCTTTTGTTGGGGAAGATGGACAACAAAAATGCAAGTAACTGCTTAACCAAGCTACTTCCAGGTGATGATAAGGGTAACCAAATGAAAGCAGTTTGGAATGGTGAGCAGGGAAGTTGTGTGAATGTTTGATCTGACACTGGAAGGATGTTGCCATGAAGAAGGTCAAGCAAGTGGCAAGTCTCAGAATCAGGAAAGGGTTTAGCATCTTCAAGGATAGAAGGAGGCCAGTGTGATGAGAGGAAGGAATGGACAGGAAAGATCTGGGAGGCGGTCAGGAGACAGATCATTCAGGGCTTTGTGGGCGGGGCCAGGAGTTTGGGTTAGAATCTGAGCAGGATGGGAAGCCTGTATTCCAGGATTGTAGGTGCCCCCAAGAGTAATGGCTGCTTGAAAGCAGGCACCCAAGCTGTGGTTTCCGCCATCTTTACTGTAGCATATCCCACCTGAGATCTTCCATAACCATACCTTGATTAAATGAACACATGGATGTGTGAAGAGAAGGGATTGAATTTAGGCCTTAAAAGATGGAAAGATAAGGGGAAAATCCTGGTGGCCCAGTGGCTAAGACTCCGTGCTCCCAGCGCAGGGATCCTGGGTTCAATCCTTAGTCAGTGAGCTAGATCCCATATGCCACAACTAAGACCCAGCACAGACAAATAAATAAATATTTATTTTTTAATGTTGGGAAGATTTGAATACAGGAGGAAGAGAGAGGAGGAGAGTTCTTCTCTCCAATCTGTGTTAGAGCCCTAGGAATTCAGTATTTGATGCCAGTTTTCCTTGTCTAATTTTTCCCTGGAGTAATAAATTAGATGCTTTTTGGTAAGAACATGAACTCAGATAATTACAATAACTTCAGTGCCTTGCTTAGAAAGGAGTTGTGTAGAAGATCTGAAAACCAGTGGTAGGAATTGTAATGCATGGATAATTAAGCTGTGAGGGAAAGAAAAATGTCTCATTCAGGATGATTTTATGCTCCATATATATATATATATATATAAAATATATATATATTTTATGCTCCATATATATATATATATATATATATTTTTTTTTTTTTCCCCCCATAGGATTTTCATGAAATGAGTCATGGTTTGCTTCTTATGCTGGAGAACATTGACAGAAGGAAAAATGAAATTGTTCCCATTGATTCTAACCTTGATGCAGAAATACTTCAGGACCATCACAAACAGCTTAAGGTAAGATATGTGGATTTAGATGGCCTCTGCTTATGTTATAGGTGGTTCTACTTATATACCTTTTATGTTGTAGTCTCTTAGTCTTTCTTTACCCCTCATGATTTCTCATCTCTGTGACGCAAGCATGTGCATAGAAGATGGCATATGCTGGCTTTAGGATCTTGTTCTAAAGCCAATTGCTCATCTAAAAATCTGTCTTCATCCTTTTTTTAGCTAACTTTTTTAATAGACTTTTGTAAAAATTTGTTTTTCTGAGACATTTTTTTAAAGTCTTAATTGAATTTGTTGTAATCTTGCTTCTTTTTAATGTTTTTGATTTTTTGGCCAAGAGACATGTGGAATTTTAGCTCCCTGACTAGGGATCAAACCCATATCCCCTACACTGGAAGGCGAAGTCTTAACTGCTGTACCACCAAGGAAGTCCTCAGATGGTCTTCATCTTAATTAGCCTGTTTTTATCAAGGCAACTCTATGCTTATTTTCAATTTATTTCTAATTTAAATTTTATATGTTCAATCTATGTCCCAAGACTATTTCGGGTAACTGATAATAAAAGGACATTAAATCTATTAAAATAGAGAATCTATTAAAATAGAGACCATTAAGGATTCTTGAGAAGAATTAAGTATGTAGATTCAACCTCAGCATCAAGTTTTCTGAAATCTAAGACAAGGGAAACATGGTAAGTTAAATGATTTTCATTACCTGGCAAAAAGAAAACATACTAGTTCTCAAGGAATAGGAAACATTTTCTAGTACTAAATTCAAAGGGATATTTGCAGGATTTTTGTGTAGATTCTTATGCAAAAAACTTTGGACAATATAATGTGCCAAATACTTAGGTGGTTTTATGGAAGATAAGGAAGCATATTTGAGTTCCATTAGGAGAAAATAATTTGCATTTTGTCACTTTCTGTATTTTTAAAATGCTATTTCTTAACATTTAACACTCACAATGACCTAACCAACAGAATTGGCAGCTTTTAGTTCAGTACTATAAAGGTCTTAGAAACCCAGAGGAAATAGCTATGTAGCTACATTTTTACCAGACTTTTGACCTCAGACATTAAATTGTGAGTGATGAATCACTCATATACCTTTTTAAAAGTCTCAAATAGTTATCAGAGCATAGCTCAACCAAGCTGTTTTTCTGCATTTATATGTTAGTTTTACTTTTCTTTTTAAATGAATATTTTATGTCTCATTTGCATAATACTTTATATTTTAAATAATTTGACATACACTCACCAATATGAACCTTCCTATAATACTGTGGACCAGGCAAGAATTAATATCACCATTTTACCTAAAGGAAATCAACCCTGAATACTCATTGGAAGAACTGATGACGAAGCTGAAGCTCAAATATTTTGGCCACCTGATTTGAAGAGCCGACTCATTGGAAAAGAGACTGATGCTAGGAAAGATTGAGGGCAGGAGGAGAAGGGGGTGGAGGAAGATGAGACAGTTAGATAGCATCACAGACTCAATAGATGTGCATTTGAACCAACTCTGGGAGATAGTGAAGGACAGGGGAGCCTGGCATGTTGCAGTCCATGGGGTCACAAAGAGTTGGACATGACTTAGTGACTGAAAAACAACCACCACCAAATGAGACAACTAAGATCAGAAAGGCTCAAGGATTTTATAGGATGCTTTTTGGGAGAGGTAGGATTAGAACATAGGTCCCTGATCTCCGAAGGTCATGGCTGCTATATCCGTCCTCGTGTGATGCTTGGGTATAATTGTCCACTAAGTTACAGTGAACTCACCCTGCACCTGGGGACTTTCTCCAAGTATCGGAAATTCTTAGGAAAATATTTTTTTACTATATTCTTAGCAAATAAGGCATGAGCTGTTGGAATCTCAACTCAAAGTGGCCTCGCTGCAAGACATGTCTTGCCAACTATTGGTGAATGCTGAAGGCACAGACTGTTTAGAAGCCAAAGAAAAAGTCCACGTGATTGGAAATCGACTCAAACTTCTCTTGAAGGAGGTCAGTCGTCATATCAAGGAGCTGGAGAAGTTATTAGACATGTCAAGCAGTCAGCAGGTAAGCTCTCAACAGACATCATTGTGTCGAATTTCCTGCAGGAGACCAAACAAGCACCATCTTTATCCATTTCAGAAAGCCTCTGAATGGAGTACTTGTCAGAATAGAGTGTCTTTTCTCTCAATCACTTCTCTTACAAATCTGTCTCAAAATAAAAAAGCGACTCGAAAACTTTCATAATAAGACACTACTTTTGATTCTGCTACATCCAAAAATCCTCTTTAACTGTTACTGCTGACCCTGTTAGCACCACTATTGTGGCATTTTATTTTACCCAGTTTAAGAAGGCGTGTGCTTTCAGTAACACAGCGAGAGGTCACAAGCAGCTGGTGCACGTGAGTTTCATATTCAGACCTTAGGAGGCATGAATTCGCCTGACACAGATGACAGTTAAGTCGTAAGGAGTGTTCTCCACTAACTTTTATTTATTTATCTATTTGCTTGTTTGTTCATCTCTTTACTTATTGGTAAATCTACTACATCGTGGTAATATTGCTGGTTTTAAGAAATGCTTTTGCAGGTAAGACTTCAGGCATTCACTTGTGAAATCCTGTCCTGAACACACAAACACGCTGCAGGCAAAAGAACTATCTACTCCCAGTAACAGCAGGTGCCAGAAACAGGACAGTTTCTCTGATGCTAAGTAGGGTGGCTCCTGGATGACCGATGCGGTGTCTCTCCAGCCTGATCACCCTGGAGCTCTAAGGCAGATTCCATCACCCATTTCACATCAGTCCATTCCCATCACTGAGAAATAATAAAGCTTCAAGTGACCCAGTCATGACAGAGCTATTAAATACCTAGCTATTAGAACATAGCTATTAAATAAATAAATACTTCTATTTTCTGGAAGGCCCCAATGCACAACCAGGAAGGCCCAACACTCTAGAAGAATTAGGTTCTGTTTTTCCTGCAACTGCCTGATTCTATTTTTTGTTTGTTTCTTAAACTGGGATATAGTTGCTTCACAGTGTTATGTTAGTCTCTGCTGTCCAACTAAGGGAATCAGCTATGTGCATACACACAACCCCTCGTTCGTGGACCGCCCTCCCACCCTCCACACCCATCCCACTCCTCGAGGTCAGCACAGAGTACTGAGCTCCCTGCGGTATAAGGCAGAGTCCCACGAGCTGCCTGTTTTACACATGGTCATGGATTTATGTCAGTCCTAATCTCCCAGTTCATCCGGCGTGCCCCCCACCCCCTGCCACGTCCACACATGTCTTCTCTGCGTCTGTGTTTCTATTCCTGCCCATGAGGATGGGGTGGGAAATACTTTGCAGATCACAAAGCCGTCATGGCTCTGGGACGTGGCATCATTAAGAGCATCTGTTTCTCACGTAGGATCTGTCTTCCTGGTCTTCCGCTGACGAACTGGACACCTCGGGATCTGTGAGTCCTACCTCGGGAAGAAGCACCCCAAACAGACAGAAAACGGTAACTTCCCAGGGGTCACTTTCAGTTGGCCCAAGGGAGGGAACACGGGGGCGCGACGGCCTTTGTAGCCGACTCAGGGTCCAGGGGCTCTCCCCTTGCAGAGCAGGGGTCCCCGGGCAGCGTGGGGGTATCCCTCGGTGGGACACGGAAGAGCTCCGTTTCCTCAGCCCTGCCTTGAACCCTCTCCACAAACGCTCAGGAGCGAAAGGAGCGGTTCTGTTTTTCAGAAGAATCAGGGTTCAACGTTGCAGTTCATAAGCAGGGAGACAAATTATTTTTCTTGCTCCAAGGGCCATTTCTAGTAGAACGGTGCCCCCCTTGTCCCTTTGGCGGCCCCTCCCTTCAAACGACCACCGCCATGGTCCACCTCAGAAAGGCAGGCTCCACATAAAGGGGCGCCTCGGGCAGAGGTGGACGGAACCGAGCATCTCACGAGACCATTGAGTTTATAAGACCAACGGGGGTTCTGTTGACTCTCAAGCGGAGACGCTCCTGAAGATGGTCTTGAAGGTTTTCTGTGATTGTATCGCCCCCAGAGTGGCACCAGCTCAAGATGACTCACGCACAAGGCCTGTTATGGGGCACACAGTGAGGAACAAAAGACCAGTTTTGGCCCCTGCTACCCTCTCTACCTTGGTTTCTCTGTGTAATTAGAAGCTCGTTTTTTGTTTTGTTATTATTATTATTTTTTTTTTTTGGTCTGGCTTTATGATTATATTCATTTTGATTATCATTCCATTTCTTTACTTTTTAGAAATATTGATTTCATTTGTATTTTTTTTTGTTATAAACACTTAAATCCTATGCTGATAAATGTTATTATCTTTTTAGAATTTTTTTTTTTTTTACTACATTCACTAGTTTCCTATAGATCCTAGTTTAAGAATGTGAAGGAATACTGGCTTTTCGAGTCAAATTTTAGCCTTTATTTGAGTATTTAACTTATTGAGTCTTCATCACTCTACACAGAACAATATCACTTTATCATTATTTTTTACCTACCTGCCAAGAATTGTAATATTGTTCCAGTGTACTGGAAGATGAAAAAATATCTAAAGTATATTTGAAATATGTAACATAACATAATGCAGTTATTATTTATTGTAATTAAATATGCAGAGATCTTTGGGTGGTGTAGTCATTTATGTTTTTACCATGAGAAGGGGGAGAATTGTACCCACTGTGATAGACATGACCAAACCACCATCCATGTTTCTTCAGTGATGAATAATATAGACGTTAATTGATTTTGCTTCTTCAACCAAAGAAAAGCCAGTTTCCTTGATTCATGGGTACTGATCATTTCATTTGATTTATATTTCCTTTGCTGCACTTTTAGTTCAGTTTTCATCAGTAGCTCGTCTTTATTTGCCTGGACTGAACATTCTTCTTTCTTTACCCCTGTTCATTGCAAACAGCCACGAGGCAAATGTAGCCTCTCACAGCCTGGACCCTCTGTCAGCAGCCCACATAGCAGGTACCTTATTCTCCTGGTTTCCACACTGTTCTAGAACTCCAAGAGGATGATGAAAATTGTCCATGATTTAGTCAGGCCTATATTTGGTCTGCCTCAGGGTAGTTGAGAAACTACTCTTTTCAGTCCACACCCTTTCCTAATAAATTGAGAGAGACTTTTCTAAGTGGAAAGTACAAGAAAATCTCAGAGCATAAAATATTTGGGCCCCACCAAAAATTGTTTAACTGTACATAGGCCATCCAGTACTTTTCATCCGATGGTGTTTATTCCGAGTCCTCATAAAGATTCCAAGTCTCTGATGGCACAGCGCCATTCAATTCATGGCAGAATTTTATCATCCTCTTTATTTCTAGATTTTACAATAAGATAGGTGATAGATCAATGAATTATTTTACCATCCCCAGAACCCACAAATCTGAATAAAATCTACTAACACTCCCAGCTTTTTATTTTATTTTCGTGTTTTATCCAGATGGTGGGTTTTGGAGTCTCAACATGGCAAGTCCTAATTTGATATCACTTAAAATTTATAAGCCTCTCCTCTTCTGCCTCTCCTAAAACTCCTCTTCAGCCAGCACACACACTTACCTTCCTGACACTTGGCCAGCTCTTTCCCTCCGGAAACAAGAGCAGAGCCCTCAGTCGCCCCCTCCCCGCCCGGGGACCTCCAGACAGCCTCCTCACAGCTGCCACTCTGCTTTACGCCTGGCTTCCAACAGTCCCTGTCTCTGCAGTCAGCGATGCTTTGCCTTCTTCGTTGTCGGTGTGATGTCTGTGCCCCCGGCCCTTCCACCAATGAGTTCCCATTTTCCCAGACAACTTTTTGAAAATGAAAATACTGTCCTTGGAAGCTGACTCTTCATCCCAGTCACCAGCAGTTCACTGTTAAAAGTGGTTTGTCTCACCACTGAGCTGGAATCTCAGTTCCTGGAAGGAAGGTTGGGGGTGAGGAAGCGTAAACAGGCCCTGAGTCAAGACTATTAGCTTTCCAGCTGTGTGCTAAAGGGACCAGCCTTTGCTTCTGGTCGTTTCCACTCAGCTATGTAGTACAGAACAGATCATGATCTGCTTTCTGGTTTTAAGCTTCCCTTCACTATGTTTTGCTTTTTTTTTTTCCTTTGGTTTGGTTTGATGACAGTTTTGTGGGGCTTTTCTTTTTTTTCAGTCTGTAACAAAATATCAATAATAAAACATGAATGGAGAAAAACTCACAGGGATTTTTGAAGATCACGATGGGCTTCTCCAAGTGCGCTGATGTTTTCTTGGCCCCCTATAAAAAAAAGACATCATGTACTATAGAGAGATCCCTGTTTCATAAAGCCTATCTTCTTGCCACAAATTACTGATGTGTCATGAACAGAGATGGGGCATCCTGTCCCCACAGCATTCCTTTAAGGATACCAGAGATCAACTCTGTAGTTGACATAAATGATGGTGATGAGAAGGGGAAAAGCTCCTATGTTATTAACAGCATCCATACTGGTAGCAACCGCCCTTTGGTTCCCAGTTTCCCATGTTCTTTCAGACAGTCACCCGGCCTTCTGAAACGTCAAAGGCCTCATTTCTCAGGGCAGCAAGGGCTTTGACACGTCTCCTAACGGGGCTTTGCGGCTGGGACAGCCACGTTCTCACTGTGACATCCGCAAGCTGCCTTCAGCTCTGCTCTGTCCAGCGCTGTTTATTAACATCTTTCTGAGCACACAGCACGGTGTCCACTTTGCTGCTTACAGGACCTGAAGTACAAATGATCCTCACCTGGACGGGAAACGTCGGCAAACACCTTGGCAGGCGGGTTGTGGTTGAACATTCTTGGATGCTTACCTCCTTGGCACCTTTCTTCGGGGTGCACCCACGTGGACAATAACATGGAGAGTCTGCTGGGAAAGAATTAACTTCTCTCACAATCCGGCTGTCACGGTGTTCCTTTACATTGGACTGGAGATTACCTTGCGTTTGATCTTGCACTGGTCCAGCAGACTTGAAAGGTTATTGCCAAAGCACAAACAGTTTAGAACGTTGACCCCAGCCATCTGTGATGGGAAAATTTTAGGCATGTATTCTTTCTGAGAGCAAAGAGGCTGACTTGAAAGAAGCTGGGTATTCATTTGAAGGGAGGGTTCTTATATTCTTTTTGTAGTTTAAAGTCGTATTAAGAGTATCAGTTGTTTCCCTGCTGTATATTTCAGACTGATTCTAGAGCCATTGTTCTCTGTTCTCTTACTTGATATTCTAGGCCTAACAATGGATTGATACCAGTGTTTACCATACACCTACTATGTTTAGGCCCAGGACCCACAAAATACAGTATGGTTCCTGTCATAAAAGAATAGCGATATGTCAGAATCTAGGGATCCCCTAAATCAAGACCTTTTAATATTCTAAACATTTGAAAAACATTTGAAAGCATACATTTCTAGTAACTATTCACAATTTTTGAGATTAAACATACTTAAGATGCATGGCTTTTTGAAAACAGGTTTATGATGGCCCAGCTGACACTTTTTCTCCAGTTTCGATTTGAAATTATCTAACCTGAAAGCCAATAACTCTTCAAAATTCTGCTCTAGATTAGTTGAAGTGCACACATGGAAAGATTTTACTCCAATTTCCTACAAGGCAAAGGAAAAACCCCTCCATAGTCTGCAGAGAGGGAAATGATGACTTCATTCCAAAGCTGAGAATTGTAACATGTAAATCTTCCCTGGGTGTCTTTAGTCTTTGGCACCTTCTACAAACAGCTGAGACAGAATAAGTGGCAAATGACTGGCTGAAACACTGAAAGAGAGGGAAAAAGGCCTCATTTTAAAATCTGGTCAAGGGAGCATTTAGGCAGGCACAGTGGGGTTTTTACACGTACATGAGGGCCTCACTGTAAACACTGTTCAACTTCTTGTGGAATGTTTTTTTCAGGTCTTTTCTGTCCTCCCTGGGGATTTATTTATTCAAAGCTCTCAAAGTGCTTCAGCCTAAAACAACCTTGCCCCCAAGGCAAGCTGGACACCCTGGCGTAGGACAGTTAGTTATAGGGGCAGGCTCCGCTATGTTTCCTTTATATTTTGAGGTCTGCATTCCCAGTGTTTCCCGGGAACAAGTAAGACACTTTGGAAAAATACATCACCTCTTTGAAAGTACTGCTATAAATCAGGACTATTTCCCTGGAAGCAAAGGCTGAATCTAGCAAAATCCCTAAGGGTGTGAGTCAGCACACCCTTGCTTTAATCATACAGATAAGAATGATAAGTTGCTGACATTTATTTCGCATTTAGTGTATTCTAAGGACCATGCTAAGTGTTATATATCTGTTACCTCATTTCCTTATTTAATCCGCCCAGCATGTTCATTCCCAATTTTATAGACAAGGATATCAAGAAATAGAGGCATGAAGATGTAGAATTTGAAACCAGGTCTCTCTTACTCTGAATCCTAGCTCGCAGGCTCTTAATGAGTGTGTGTGTGTGTGCGCGCATGTGTGCATATGCATTCAGTCGCTAAGTCATGTCTGACTCTTTGCAACCCCATGGTCTCTATAGCTCTCCAGGCTCCTCTGTCCATGGGATTTCCCAGACAAGAATACCGGAGTGGGTTGCCATTTCCTTCTCCAGGGGATCTTCCCGATTGAGGGATTGAATCCGCATCTCCTGCAGTGGCAGGCGATTCTTTACCAATGCACCACCTGAGAGGGTTACTTTAGACAACAGTTCCAGGGCTGGGGCTACCGTGGGCTGCCTGAGATAGCTTTGGACCAGCCAGAATGTTCATTTTGGACTAAAGGGAGACACACCCTAAGTTGATTCTGAAAATTTGTCTTCTGAACCACATACCCAGGGAATAAAGACCATTCACACAAGAACAGACAAGATCATGGACAACCTGATATTTCCTCACAAAATTTTCTATTCCTCTCCTGCCAGAGTTCTCTCACTAGTTACAAAATGAGTTGAAAGTGTCTTTTCATTTGTGTTTCAGTGACGTATGCACAGAATTAACCCATTTTATTTCCTTGGTGACATAACTTTTTGAGATGAGTCACACTCCACATGCACACTCACTCCTTGGGCTTCTCACAGCCTTTCTGAGACTTTCTTTGCTGTGGTGTGTTCATAGGTATGGGCTTCCCTGCTGGCTCAGCTAGTAAAAAATCTGCCTGCAGTGCAGGAGACCTGGGTTCGATTCCTGGGTTGGGAGAATCCCCTGGAGAACGGAACGGCTACCCACTCCAGTATTCTGGCCTGGAGAATTCCATGGCCAGAATTCCCACAACTGCACATATTTTGGGAAAGAGATGAAACAATGCCTGGGCAGTTTTTTACCCTCAAATTTGAATGAGCAAGGGGAGTGAGAAAAGTCATAAAATAAATGTTTACTTGTAGAGAATAAGCATGTTTTTTTTCAGGACAAGGTTACCCAAAATATCTCCACTGATTTAAGTTCCTTAAGCAAGCTTACACATTTAGTTTTTCCTCTGTCAACACAGCCTCCACTGGGTCTGTTTATGGAGTAGGGCCCTTGGAGAGGGATGAGTGAGAGGTCTTTGTTCTTCCTCCTGTCAGATTCCCCAAGACTCTTGAAACTTAATTGATTTTAGATTAATAGATTAAATATTAAATGTACTCACTTACTTGGTGTCATTAACCTGCTAGTATTAATACTAGAAGCACTGGGACAGGTTCATCCTAAGGAGAGAGAACTTTGGGCTTGTTGAAACCTTCGTAATTGCCCCCACGCGGGTGGCATTGTTTTCAGTAGACCAACTGGACATTTCCAAGAGCAGTCAGCTGCATGGAAAATCACTAAGCACTGTGTTCTCTTTGTCCCAATCTTAGCCCATTATTTCTCCCCAGGTTGGCATTCTTCAACATTAGAAAGCTTGCACTGATTAAATGTTAATACAGAATGCTCTGATGCTGTTAAATGTGCCATGTCCTCCAGTAGAATCTACAGCATCTGAGCCTGTCATCCAAAGATGGTGACCTTGTCTTGCTTTTCTCAGGAGTGGGCTGGTCAATGTGTAGCCCTTGTTTTGATCTCGATCTTCGGCTTAATTGTTCAGAGAAGCTAATAATTGACAAACGGGCTGTTCAGCTCTGTCAGTCAGATTCTGAATGATGTGCATGAATCTGCCCATCCCTAATGTTCTGAAGTGTCTCCTAAAGAAAAGTCATTTTGAAATCTCCCTCATTTTATTTAGATGCTGAATAATAAGGAAACGTGGAGCTCTCTTTTGTGTTTTTAAGTCATCAGACAGCTGACAGGTGGAGAGTACTGTTCACCAGGGCCTATTTTCAGGCCATTCAGTCCAGAGCTCATGGGTGACTGTCTCATCCTTCTCCAGACACTTTAAACTGCTGAATTCATAAAGTGTCAGAACCAAAAAGTTTTTAGATTAATGCTTTCTCATCTTTGCAAATGAGAAAACTGAAGGCAGAGAGATTTAAGTCATTTGCCCACGTTGTACAGCCGCCTCAAAATAGAATGCCCCTGTGTCCATATACTGACTGGGTGGTGTTTGTAAAACCTGTGAGGCTTTATGGTTAAAAGCATTCATTTGAGACATGCGGAAACCACTTGCCTCCAAGTATTTTAAGATATTGCCTTCTTTGCATTTGCATGGGAGAGACCCGTGATGTAAATATGACTTGGATGACCATTCATGTCACCAAACAGCGAAACATTACAGAGACATGCTGCTGGAGCTCTTCCTTTTTTAATTTTTTACTTTTTGGCTTCACTTCGCAGCATGTGGGACCTTAGTTCCCTGACCAGTGATCGAACCTGCGTCCCCTGCATTGGAAGGCAGAGTCTTAACCACTGGACCACCAGGGAAGTCCATACAGCTCCTTTAATTGTCAACTGGGGCAAGTGGTTTACTCTGTTTATAAAGCCTAAGTTGTAAAAGTTAGAACACCAGAGTTGAATGCCATGCTAACTGTGTAACCTCAAGTGGGTTGCCTAACTTCTCTGTGCCTCCTCTATGTCGACTATAAAATGAAGGTGGGACAGGAATACCGAGGACTGCTGTGTGGATGAAGTGAGAGACAAATGCTTCTGTTATCCAGCAGTTAGAAGAGTAAATGTGAAGTAATTAGCCTCCAACTAATAAAAATAAATGGGAAAAAAAAAGAGTAAATGTGAACTTTCGTTAGTTATTTATCTACAAAATCAGAAGATGGATTAGCTACTCTAAGGCTTTATCTCAGCACGAATATTTTACAGTTAGGTAGCTAGAGAAAGTTCTATTTAATAGATATGTGACAGACTTCTTTTATGCTCTGGGTCAGGAAGATCCCCTGGAGAAGGTAATGGCAAGCCACTCCAGTGTTCTTGCCTGGGAAATCTCATGGACAGAGGAGCCTTGTGGGCTAGAGTCTGTGGGGTCACAAAGAGCCAGAGGTGACTGAGCACACACGCGGCTCATCTTCACAAAATGCCGTGTATTTCTGAGTATCGGTCCTAGCAGAGGGCAGTTAATCAGTTTGACCACTAGGTGGTGATTGAACTCTTGTGGCCTCCCAGTTGGTAACCTCTGCATTCACTCTACATTCACCTCTACATTCACTCTACATTCACTCTACATTCACTACATGAAGTGTATAAAACATGGAGCTTGCAAGTTGGAAGCCTGTCGAGTCTAATTTGAAGGATTTGAAGAAGAGGTTGTAGCACAGAGGTGAAGTCAGTTGTTCAAGGTTTGTAGACTGGAAAAGAACACAGCCCCAATTAAGGCCAGAGATCTGTTTTTGTCAATCATGCTCTGGGAGCTGCAGCAGAAAGCCAGTATAGTACACGGCTGCTCAGAGCTTCTACAGGGCCGGTCCAGACTGTTTGTTTCATGTATGTCTTTGTGAATTTAGTGAAAGAGTAGTCCTTCTGTTCCCTTTTAAGGGGATTATTTCTGTTTTTTATCTTAACATTTTCTTTGGTGCCACTCCCCACTGATACCGGTGTAATCTGGCTTCCGAAATTAATGGCTAATAAGGGAGCTCTGATAGCTCAGTTGGTAAAGAATCCGCCTGAGATGCAGGACACCCCAGTTCAATTCCTGGGTCAGGAAGATCTGCTGGAGAATGGATAGGCTACCCACTCCAGTATTCTTGGGCTTCGCTTGTGTCTTAGCTGGCAAAGAATCTGCCTGCAATGCAGGAGACCTGGGTTCGATCCCTGGGTTGGGAAGACCCCCTGGAGAAGGGAAAGGTTATCCACTCCAGTATTCTGGCCTGGAGAATTCCATGGACTGTGTAATCCCTGGGGTCTCAAAGAGTCGGACATGACTGAGCAACTTTCACTTTTCTTTTCAAGGTAGCTGGAGACAGTGTTTTCTCATGAGATAAGGGTACTGTGTGGCCAATACAGTCTTCATACCTGTATACCTCTCCTGTGGTCTCACAATCAATGCCCCTACCATCAAACCATTAGAGAATTCAGACTAGGTGTGGGGAGTGGGTCTCCTTGGTACATCTGTTCTTTCTGCTTCTGCAATGTTGTGTGTGTGTGTGTGTGTGTGTGTATACAATTCCTCTTGTAAATATCATTGCTTTCCTCCTCTTCTCCACTAGTAACCAAAACATTAAGGGATGCTTACAAAGGAAAAGCAGTACCTCCCACCCAGAACCTACTTCCATATTCTGTGTTTCACAGGCAGTCTTTCTTATGAATTCTGAAGTTCATGCTTCATCTGTAATGCACTGTTTCAAAGTAGATGGGGAAATTTAAGAAGATAGGAAAACATGGAACATTGGGTCTAGAAGGAGCCTTCAAGACACAATCTGTCTTTAGAAACAGTGTGTCTGTTCCCCACATTGATGGAGCCAGTGACAGAAGGATCACCCTGGAGTCAGTATGATTCAGCACCAGTGTTGTGTAGACTGACTCCACCGCCACACTTATTCTTCCAGCTTTGGAATCTGCCAATGTCAGGGCCAGTCGCTGACTCAGTGCAAGATGAAACCAGGGAATACTCTAAGGTTAATTCAACTCTGTGGGTCTGTGCAAAATGACTGCAGCTGTCCTTGTCCTTGCTGCACGGACTCTGGCACGTCCAGGACAGGCTAGACGGGAGGAAAACCTTGTATCATCCCAACAGCCACTAATTGTGCCTAATGTTGCTCTTGATAGTCTTAAACCAAAAATGTACTGCATCAAACATCTACATTTTAATTATCCCGGGTCTACTTAATTTATGCTGGTGGGGTGTGTGTAGAGCAGTTATCTTTGTTGGAAAAGGTTTTGCCAAATCGATGGGCGGGTGGAATTTGAACCCAGTTAGTTACCTTTAACCAACTAAATGTCTGCCCTCCATCAGTGCAGTTTCCAAACAACTCTTCATTTGGTGATGGGGAGATCACCTGGGTTTACTGCAGAAGGCTGGCAGCTAACTGCCTGGTTGGGTGGTGTTCATCAGCTGGGTTTACTGCAGAAAGCTGGCAGCTAACTGCCAGGTTGAGTGGTGTTCGGTCTAACCAAAGGGGAGGAAGCAAACAGCAGCATCCACCCAACACTGGAGATACTTGAGTTATTGATGTCGATTCTTCTCTCAGGTCCATAAAAGGTGGCTCCGATTCCTCCCTTTCTGAGTCTCGGCCAGCCCGGTCCGGCCGAGCCTTCCTGTTCAGAGTCCTCCGAGCGGCTCTTCCCCTTCAGCTCCTGCTGCTGCTTCTCATTGGGCTGGCCTGCCTAGTCCCAATGTCAGAGGAAGACTACAGTTGTGCTCTCTCTAACAATTTTGCCCGATCATTCCACCCCATGCTCAGATACACAAACGGCCCTCCTCCTCTCTGAACCAAGCAGATGCTCTCGGCCGCTTGCTGCTGGTCGCCTAGGGAGGAATTTGGCCCAGGGCAATCCCAAACGAGCAAAGAGAGGACGTAAGTCTTGGCGGATGCCCTCGGTACGGCAGCTGTCGCTCACCTCCGCATCCCATGCGTGCAAATCACGGCTTCGGAGGTGATGGTAAACGGTGATGGGGGAGAGCACATAGAGGACAGAAGCTGGGAAGAAATTTTGATTGAGCCTCAGCACTAAAAAGAGTCAAGATTTCTACTGTTCCCTGGACACGTGAACTCTGGACCCTTGGCCCATCTGTGAGTATGCAGGGACTTCAGAGACCATCTGGGCAGCTTTCCCATGGTGCTGCTCCATCCATTCAATAAGTGATGCGACCTGAGCACCATGTTGTCATCGAACAATCTACCAGCCAATCAGCGCTGAAGAGATTTGAAGACCCTGTAACATACAGTTTTTAAGAGCTTATATGGCAGCTTCCTTTTTACCTTGTTTTCTTTGGAGGGCATGATATTCTAACCTTGCATTAGAAGCACAAGCTGTAAATCTAAAAGGCACTTTTTTTTAAAGATATAAAGAAACATTGGATGTAATAAATAAAAATCACAGAAGGCTTTATGTGAAAAAAAAGTTGAATGTTATAGTAAAAGAAATGATATTTATGTATGTACAGTTTGCTAAAGCCAAGTTTTGTTTGTATCAATTTATTTGCATTTATTACAGATACTATGAAATATCTTGTCTGTGGTTTTTTTGTTCCTCCCTAAAGAAATGACTCTAGATTTCCCTATTAAGCAGGCACTTCTCAGAATGCAACCTGCTGCTGCTGCTGATGCCGCTAAGTCGCTTCAGTTGTGTCTGACTCTGTGCGACACCATAGATGGCAGCCCACCAGGCTCCCCTGTCCCTGGGATTCTCCAGACAAGAACACTGGAGTGGGTTGCCATTTCCTTCTCCAATGCGTGAAAGTGAAAGTGAAGTCGCTCAGTCGTGTCCGACTCCTAGCGACCCCATGGACTGCAGCCTACCAGGCTCCTCCGTCCATGGGATTTTCCAGGCACGAGTACTGGAGTGGGTTGCCATTGCCTTCTCCAGAATGCAACCTAGATTATCTTTTTTTTTTTTTTGTAGAATAAATGAAGCTGAAACATAAACATATGTTAAAAACAAAAGGAAAAAAGGATGGACAGAGGTAGTACATATTTAGACAGAGAGAACTCTGGATAACTTCTCCCTTCTCCTTCCACAGCCAAGCACATCTCCCCAGCTGTCTCCCAGGTGCCTCCCAGCATCTTTCATACCTTTCCTATTCTCCTTTCTTTTCTGTTCTCCCTGCACAATTGGAGGAACCACCTGTGATGTCCTGACTGAGGCCCCTTCTCCATTCCATCCCAAGATTTACCAAAAAGCCACAGGAATATCCCTGAAGCACGCTTCCATTCAGACCCCTTCTTTGCTCCAGAATCTTGTTTTCATCATCTAGTGGAGGAAATAGAATTTTAGTTTATAATTCAAGTTCTCAGACAGTCAGATTTTATTCTGTCCATGTCATCTTGCCAACTCAAGGCTCTTGTGGAGCTGTTTGGTGTTCATGGTCATTTAATCCACCATTGAGTAATCAGAGGAGAAAGATTTATTTAAAATCCAAGTTTCCGGCTTCTCTTGTGAGTGGAAAGCTCACATGTACTGGACATATATTCCCACATGACAGTAATGGCTGGAGTGACATGACCGCTTTCCTTTGAAAAACAAGAGTAGACAGTTATTACACTTGCATAAATGGCCTATGAGCCTCCCTCGTTACCTGTACCAGCCTAACTCCCAGAGTCATTTAGTTTACAAATCCTGCTCTAAACTGAGATTTTAACCCTGACTGAGACACTCAGAATTACCTGGAATTTCCTTCCATAGTTTTCATGATATTCATAGCCTGTGTGCCTTCTTACCTAGGGGTTCAGAGGTTTTTTTAAGCTTTCTGATTTCTGGACTCACAGCAGACCTTCTAATTTAGTCTCTGGGCATCCAGCCTGGGAACTGACATTTTAAACAGATACCTGAGGTGGTTTTTAGTCCTGTGAAGTGAAAGTCGCTCAGTTGTGTCTGACTCTTTGTGACCCCATGGACTATACAGTCCCTGGGGTTCTCCAGGCCAGAATACTGGAGTGGTTAGCCATTCCCTTTTCCAGGGGATCTTCCCAACCCAGGGGTTGAACCCAGGTCTCCTGCATTGCAGGCAGATTCTTTACCAGCTGAGCTATGAGGGAAGCCCGTTGTTGTTATTTTAAGTCCTACTAACTGTTGAAAAGCACTCCTCTACACCATCTTAGCTCCAACTTTCTGTTCTCGCTACTCATTCTTTCCTGCCTCACAAGACTCAACCCACAAGCCACCTGCTTGATGCCTTTGCAGATCACTATTAGACTGACTTCCCTGGACTGACCTTACCTCCCATGTACTCCTGCTCTATACTGTCAGGTTAGTCCTTTTTTCCTGCTTCGGAACAGATCGGAGGTGAAATGTTCTTTTCTAAAGAAGACACACCTGTATGTCACAATTTCTGTCTTCCTGCTTCCGGGAAGGCTGTGAGCAGTGGTGGACCCTGGGGTTGAAGGATGCCCTGCGCCCTCATCTGAGATGGTTCTGCTTCAGCCCAGGTTCTTCCCTCACTTCCCTGTCACCCCAGCTCCGAATACCTGGAGGACCTGGGCTTGCTTCTAGAGCAGTCTGGCCTTTGAAGAGACCTGTGTCGCCATGTTATGGAAATTACCACACAACGAGGTGTCAGGCATGGCGGAGGCCAGCCCAGAGTCACTTCAGAGCCACTTCTCCACATGGCAGTTAACTGGTTTAACTACGCATGTCCCATCACCAAAAAACCAGATATTAAATGTGGCTGAGAAAGTGACATAGCTTTGACTAAGACAAGTCTTCACGTCCCATTTCTGCCTTTCTCAAACCCCTGTGAAACACTGAATGGAAGGCATCATGTGCAATTCTATTAGATATTTTCAAGACTTAGAGGAAAGGACATTTGAACAGGACAGCAGTGGGAATCCCCTGGGCGGGTAAACTTTAAAACCAGGAGGTGCTGTCTTCCCCCAGATGTCAACATGACCAGTCTAGCAAGGACCAAGCCAGCCACAGATAAGACTAGGATTTCTGTCTAGTGCTCACTCGGTCTCCATGCTTAATGAGGGAGGGGACACAGGGTACCATTTGGAGCATCCTTGCCTGTACCAGCAGCTTCCCTGGCAACAGAGAGAGAGAGAGAGAGATGTCAGCAAAGGCTTTGTGGATGAGGAAGGTATTCGGGAAGAATTTTAACAGACTAGAAGGACACTGATGGCTGTTAAAGAGACTGACTTCCAGAGTAGGGACTGTCCAGAGCCCCGCTGTTGCCCAGAGGTAAGGAGTCATGTCCCCCCGAGTGATGACTGAGGAAGGGCATGGTGAAGAGATGAAGGGTAGGATTAATAATATCTTGGTAATGAAGTTTGCACTAGCAGGAAATGTTAGAAAAACTGAGGGAAGAGAGAAAACCCATAAACCTAGGATGAAGAGGGGGAAAAATAAAGAGAAACTTAAAGTAGTGACTTACTGAAACGTCCATGGAGAAGTGAAAGGTTTCTGTGGAAACTGTGCCCAGCGAGCAGGAACGCTGCCTCCTGGAAGACGGGGCAGCTCAGCTTCCCTTGTTTTTGTAAGAACTGAGAAGAGATGCCTTCAAAAGTCTTGGATGGGCAGTTCAGCAAGCCAAGGGCTGAGATTTACTGTCAAAAGACAGGTGGGGGCAGACGGATTTACAGCCTGTGCCCTAGGGCCAAATATTAAGAAATTAGAGCTACAAAATTTTATTGGCAAGCCACTTAAGAGATCATAAAGCAAAGAAAGGTGGAGGAAATAGATTTATGAGAGCAGATCACGGCTAGAAAAGCAGGGTCTCTAGCTGGTCTGGATGAACCAGAGAGCGGTCCCAATAGCTGGGTTCCCTGCCCCCACCCACCAGTCTGCTATCACTGAATATGCCCCTAGGGAGTTAGAAATAAAACTTCCTCAGAGGATATGCTGAATAGAACCCCAGATCCCCAGGCGTAGCAACAGACACTCACATCACAAGTATGTATTAAATGCCCGGTGTGGGCAGCAAAGATGCTTCAGACTCTTCCGGAGTCAAGTTACAGCTGAGCCCTCATCCCTTCCTGTTTCATTACCCATTAAAATGCCATCCCTGAGCCTTCCACATTCAGGAGAATCTGTATTTTCCTCCACCGATTCTGTCCTGAAATTTGGGATAAAGGATAAGTGAGGACACTAGAAGGGAACCAAACGGAAGCAATCTCTAATTTGGAAGAGAAAAGGGAAACAAAGCCTGGTTCAGTCTGTCTTCAGGTGCCATGGACCAGCTTCCTCTCCTTTGTCAACTTTGTCACCTGGGCAATGTTAGAGAGGGATGCATTTTTGAAAGAGTCCGTGGATGTGGAGGCAGGTGGAGTGGTTTGCAAGCACAAAGAGGCAATTTTCGGCTTCGTCAGATGCAGACTAAGATGTTAATTTGGGTGGTGAGAGAAGGTGCGTCACCAAGAGTGGCCATTTCAATTTTAGATATAATAATATATTGTGATAACTGCGACCGATTGTCGTGCCTCAAGTAACCCAGAGATGATGAAACCGAAAAAGAATGACTTTTATTCTTCAGTTTCTGGCTCCTCACTGACCTGTCCTTTGGAGTTTGAAAATATCCACCAGAAATCTATTTGGGAATACCACAGAGGGACGTAAACTCGGGGGGAGAACTCTCCTCATTCAGATGAGTAAGTGGAGGAACTGGGGACTTGGGGGGGCACTTCTGGGAGCCTGTTCTCTGCAGGGCAGCTGAGAGCTTCTCAAACGGAGGGGGAGTTCTGTCTGCTGTTGGGTAGAAGGTGGGAAGCAGAAGAATTCTCTTGAACTCTGTGGTCAGGCAGGAGCATCTTGGAAGGCTAAGGAAGTTGGAAAGTTGAAAATTGGCTAATGAAAAACAGGGCGATATGCTGTAACACAGGCCGAACAATGAGGAACATTTAAGCTGGGGAACCAAGGATGCCAGTGGGACTTGGACATAATCTTTCTAAAATATGATCAAGTAAAAGGACTCAGATGCAATTTCTTTTTTTTTTTTTTAACCTGTTACCTAATACAGAAGCAGAATCATAATGGAATATAGAAAGCCCAGTTGCATCAGGAGAAGAAAGTCCTAGGTCAGCAGCACAGGTCATCTGATGCCATAGGTGGTCTAGAAGAAATCCAAATCCCCCAGAGGAATCCTCATGTCAGACCCTCACAGATGCATGTTCCCAGCCCAAGCTTAAATCCCGCTGGACACATTCTTGAGGCAGTGAGTGGCTGGACACAGGAAGTGAAGCTGCCAAACAGCTGCCAACACCAAGGACAGGTCTAGACCATCACCCCCAGCCCCAAACCCCCGGCACAGCGCACCTCCCACTCCCGGCGCCACAGCTCCTTGTGGGATTTACAGGTTGACCAGAAACTGTAGGGATGCATCATGCTACAAGCAGTCTGTCCAGGCCAGTGGTGTTTCCAGTGTGGTCCAGGTCAGCAAGACTTCCCTGTAGCTCAAATGGTAAAGAATCTGCCTGCAATGCAGGAGACCTGGGTTCAATCCCTGGGTCAGGAAGATCCCTGGAGAAGAGAATGGCAACCCACTCCAGTGTTCTTGCTTGGAGAATTCCGTGGACA